CTCTCCCGATCCAGCTAGTCATCTCTCCCGATCCAGCTAGTCATCTCTCCCGATCCAGCTAGTCATCTCTCCCGATCCAGCTAGTCATCTCTCCCGATCCAGCTAGTCATCTCTCCCGATCCAGCTAGTCATCTCTCCCGATCCAGCTAGTCATCTCTCCCGATCCAGCTAGTCATCTCTCCCGATCCAGCTAGTCATCTCTCCCGATCCAGCAAGTCATCTCTCCCGATCCAGTCAGTCATCTCTCCCGATCCAGCTAGTCATCTCTCCCGATCCAGCTAGTCATCTCTCCCGATCCAGCTAGTCATCTCTCCCGATCCAGTCAGTCATCTCTCCCGATCCAGCTAGTCATCTCTCCCGATCCAGCTAGTCATCTCTCCCGATCCAGCTAGTCATCTCCTGATCCAGCTAGTCATCTCTCCCGATCCAGCTAGTCATCTCTCCCGATCCAGCTAGTCATCTCTCCCGATCCAGCTAGTCATCTCTCCCGATCCAGCTAGTCATCTCTCCCGATCCAGCTAGTCATCTCTCCCGATCCAGGCGGAAAGCGATTAAAACTGGGGTAGGGTGAAACAGCGAGGCCGCACAGTAGCCAACCGATCCACACTGGGGTGCGATGAAATAGAGACACGGCTCTACAACCAACCGATCCACACTAGGGTGAAATGAAATAGAGAGGCCTCTATATAACCAACCGATCCACACTAGGGTGAGATGAAATAGAGAGGCCGCTTTATAACCAACCGATCCACACTAGGGTGAGATGAAATAGAGAAGCCGCTCTATAACCAACCGATCCACACTAGGGTGACATGAAATAGAGAAGCCGCTCTATAACCAACCGATCCACTAGGGTGAGATGAACTAGAGAGGCCGCTCTATAACCAACCGATCCACACTAGGGTGAGATGAAATAGAGACACGGCTCTACAACCAACCGATCCACACTAGGGTGAGATGAAATAGAGAGGCCGCTCTATCACCAACCGATCCACACTAGGGTGAGATGAAATAGAGAAGCCGCTCTATAACCAACTGATCCACACTAGGGTGAGATGAAATAGAGAGGCCGCTCTATAACCAACCGATCCACAGTAGGGTGCGATGAAATAGAGAGGCCGCTCTATAACCAACCGATCCACACTAGGGTGTGATGAAATAGAGAGGCCTCTCTATAACCAACCGATCCACACTAGGGTGAGATGAAATAGAGAGGCCGCTCTATAACCAACCGATCCACACTAGGGTGCGATGAAATATCAGGTACTTATTTTTATTTCTTCTTACAAAAATAGACTTTTTTTATGAAATCGTGATTCCACATTTTCCACCCCTGTGCAATACTTCGTGAACAGGTTTCCATATTAAAAGTAAATTTAAATAATATCATTTAATTGATATCAACAATTTTTGGTTTGGATACAAAGGGCGATTGGATATACTTCAGTAATTTATTGCACAAAAACACAAACCCGTTCGGAATATGGTTAAGACAGCAATGTCCAGTGATATTTGTATGAAATACATGTAGCTGACAAGTATAGTTCTTCAATTCAGAATATTAAATTTATTCATCCCTACAACCACGTGCACGGACGGGAATAAGCTGTATAACTACCGGGTGTAACGAGTGCATGTTGAGCAACATGACAAGGCACTTCGAAACTTGATGAGTAACACTTTGATATATCCCAGTCATGCACACTGACGTGACGGGTAGGTGATGTGTATACTGGGTGCCCCACATGCAGTGGTAGAACCCTCCCTCCCAACGTGAAAACACATGGACACCCAAAAACAAACCTTGGTTATTGATATACCGGGTGTCTGGTATAGTGAGAAGGCAGTGGAGGATCAGGTATACGGGTGGATGGGTAATGTCATATGCTCTTGGCAGTTTACACTTTGGACGAAATAGAATAAAACAGAAAAAATCGTAAATATTTACAAGAAGGGTTTTATCGTATGGGTTGCTGTGGTAACTCGCCTTTTTTTAATATTCAGCACTTTCAGTCATTTTTAACAAATATGGCCTTGAGGTATGTTTACAAGGAATGAGTGTCTTTAGCGTAAACATACAGTTTACCAAACGTATTTTGTTTACGGTCGTTAACGATACTGGTAACCCAGTTGGCCTATTGTTAAGTGTTGGCTCATGTGTGTCATTGTAAGGCGATCTCCTCATTAACGTGCGGGTACCCCACGTACTGACTGCAGCTCTGCGTCCACCCGGTTCAATTCGTACCCTTTATTGACTAAAGTGGGGCGGTAGCCTAGTGGTTAAAGCGTTCGCTCGTTACGCCGAAAACCAAGGTTCGACTCCCCACATGGACATGCGGATACCGGACATACTGACTACAGCTCTGTGTCCACCCGGTTCTTACCCGGAGAACCCTTTATTGACTAAAGTGGGGCGGTAGCCTAGTGGTTAAAGCGTTCGCTCGTTACGCCGAAAACCCGGGTTCGATTCCCCACATGGACATGCGGATAACCGACATACTGACTACAGCTCTGTGTCCACCCGGTTCGTACCCGGAGAACCCGTTAATGGCTAAAGTGGGGTGGGGTAGCCTGGTGGTTAAAGCGTTCGCTCGTTACGCCGAAAACCCGGTTCGTACCCATTATTGACCAAAGTGGAGTGGGATAGTATTGTGGTTTTAAGCCGTTCGCTCTTCACGCCGAAGACGGGTTCAGTTCCCCACATGGACATACGGGTACCCTACATACTGACTGCAGCTCTGCGTCGACCTGGTTCGTACCCGGAGAACCCGTTAATGGCTAAAGTGGGGCGGCGGGGTAGCTTAGTGGTTAAAGCATACGCCCTTCAACCGGGTTTGATTCCCCACATGGGTACAATGTGTGAAGCCAATTTGTGGTGTCCCTCGGTGTATTGCTGGAATATTGCTAAAAGCGGCGTAAAACTAAAGTGAATCTAGAGTAAACTTTGTTTTCCGAATATTACTGTTTAACCATAGTGGAAACTGCGGGAATGTTGTTTTACGACGTGCTTCACAAGGGCGGACTGTACATAATAAGTGAGTGAGTGAGTGAGTATAGTTTTACGCCGCTTTTGGCAATATTCCAATAATATCATGTTAGGGGACACCTGAAATTGGCTTTACACATTGTACCCATCTGGGGAATTGAGCCCGGGGTCTTCGTCGTGACGAGCGAAGCATTATCCAATAGGCTACCCCACCACCCCCTGTGCATAGTAAACTCCAGGCAAACTACGGGTGGTAAAACTTTGCAAGCTTGAGCAACGATCCACTAATTCGGGTGGACTCTAACACCCCGTCAGTCAGGATGTACATTGTACCAAGCCAATCCTTATTTTAGTACTTCATATGACATGCGTTAGGCAAGCCTTTGATTAAGAAAATGTGAAATTCATAAATTCGTTTGTGTTTGAAGAGAATTTCTATGGGTGATTAAGCACTGATGCTGGTGCAGGTTATAGCTGAAAGGTCAGAAAAGTATATCACGTCTACACTTGGCAGTCGGGGCGGCGGGTAGCCTCGTGGTTAAAGCGTTCTATAGTCATGCCGAAGACCCGAGTTCGATTCACAATGTGTGAAGCCCATTTCTGGTGTCCCCCCGCCGTGATATTGCTGGAATATTGCCAAAGGCGGCGTAAAACTTAATTCACTCACTACACTGAGCAGGCAGGTATACCCGTTAGTTACTCAGTTAACTCCCTTGCTTCGGGAAGATGTACATCCAGCCACACAACAATGTGAGGAGCATCGATCCGCACCGTACGGGTACGATGACAGCAACCCATTAAGTGACTACCACCCGGTACAATTAAGCCGCTTGTTACGACAAAAATAGGATGCTGAACTAACTCGCCGGATAACGATGGGGCATGATTTAGATACACATCAGGAACGGACGGTTGCTCTGTGTAAAGACACCATGGCGACGCAATAGTATACGCGTGTTTCTTTACACCAGATACGTTTCTTATGATCTCGGTGATAAACCGATTGGTCGTAGCGAGCGGGTGTTGTTTTACACACCAGTCGGCAGTATGACGCCGGTTGTAAATACGCGAGTCTGGAACAGAAATAAATCGGAGTACGATGACAAACGAGCCAAGGTAGCACATCTCAGCCATCCGACATCTGTACTGACCCATGGTGTATGACGGCGGTTAATGATCAGAATGAGGCGAACCGATGACTGAAAGCATGAGCCACAGTTCTGCCGACCCCATATTGCACAGGTTTCAAAGCGAGGCACCGGGCACCTGTTGTGGCATTGAATACTTGCTTGCTTCCAAAATTCGGGAATCCTGCAACAAACTCGTGCATTTACAGATCTTCGTCTTAAAACTAAATAATACTGTACGGCGTCTTACAACAAATGGATCCTTATTTCATCTAATTAAAATAATTTGCTCCAATAAATTACAGATTTCGGCAAAAAATCCAGAATTGTAAAGATGCCTGCTGTAGGCTGTCATTCTTTACTGTAACGCCTAACGATACACCATTATGGCTTAATGTCTACCTGTTACCAGTAGGGAATACATTGCCAGACAAATGGGGAACAGGAGCCTACAGGATTACTTGCCCATCTAAGACACTGGATGACTAAGGGATGTCAGACGTTTAGTTATTTCGACCTCTTGTTGCCTGTATAAAGGCAACATATAACATCACTCACTTCCCAGAGCGAAATTGTTTGTAATAAATATCATGGAATGTTGATATTAAATACTCTTTGGGCTTGAGGGGATTACAATTCTAACATCTGTATGCCTTTTGAAGAACGCTTGCTTATCGTAGTACTACATTTACACTACCAATTTGTGTTCAATTTACCTGCCTAAATCCCTGGTGATTAACGAGTGTCACTGAGCGAGACGAAGCACCTTACAATATGCGACTCTCAACAGAACGCAACGCTTTCCACAACACTGGCTCGAGCAGAAAGACGACGCTATATATACACCAGCCGCGTGCGGTATGATGTCACAACCCACGTGGTAACGCCGGGCTGTCGCACACTGGCGAATCCCCAGGTAAAACGGCCTAGAGCAGACGAGAGGCGCTGGGACACCCGTCCAGTCACAAAGAAACATGATTACCAACAGTACCGATTACAGCGGGGTAGAACTGCCCGTGTGAGCTGGGTTGTAGATATCGCGTGGATCTTTACTGGCATCGAGTAGACGCGAGCATACAGGAGCAGACGGCAGTTGTCGTCTGCCTCTACAAGCCGACTGGAACAAGCAGACGATACCAAAGGATACTACTGTATTTGTGTATACTGGAAAGATACCGAGATGGAATCGATCGCGGAAATATCCAAATCAAAAGAAGAGGTATGTTTTTGTAGTGTTATTTATGTCGATGGTGTGTTATCCGTTATGATAATGTTTGCAGCAGGAAGAACCAAGACTGTCATTCCACATGTGGACGTGTTTATTGATACAAAACAATGTTGACATGTGCAGTATGCACTAGATCTTTACAGTTTAGAATGAAAGGCACTTTGGATGCAGGACTAGAAATAGCGACTCAAGTTTCATGTGTAATTTACAATGCTTGTAACTGTGCCTGTGATATGCATGTTCCTCGGAAATGTGGGTTATTTCCTTATAAAGGTTGTTTAATAGTTGTGACTAATGCTATAAATAGGATATCCTTTATATTCGGACTTATCGCGTTAGCAGGAGTCGGCGTCTCGATGGAAGCTGGTTTCCCAACGTGACGTAATACTGATGAATATGGGTTAATTAGTCAGGACCACCTAAAGTTAAGCTGATGTATGCTGTGATATTAAGCTGTAATGTCTCTCAGTGGAAGCTGGCTGGGCAGTTAAGTGTCACCAGTTCCATATATGGTAGGAATAAGATGTGCAATCAATACAGAGTTGAATCCTCCCCGAGATGTCCCAGTAATGTGAATTATGATTAAACCTGGGTGAAGTTTCACACGGATGGAAGAAGCGTCCTTGAAACAATACACTCATGTACGGCATATGTGGGTGTGGTTTCCATCAGGGGTCATCCTGACCTCCACACATTGAAGCTTATGTTCACACAATGAGCTCAACATGCATTTCCTATGTATTATTTAACAGTCATGGGAATGATCTGTTTGATTGGCATTTTAGAAGTTGATGAATAATTAGAAAGGTATGATACTTTCTTAGGGGTGAGACAGTATATCACAGTATTAGTAGAACCGCAGTGTTTTTTGGCCTTCTGTTTGGTACACTGTAATGCAATCCAAAAATTCGGTATTTTTGGTTTTTGTACTGTCATTTATTTCTATCTAGTCATAAAATGACAGTTTTGTTCATTCAAAATAACAAAGAATATGGTTATTTTTTTCCCCATGTTATTAAAAAATGTAATGTTTGTTGTCAATTTTCTGCATTTTATGATCATATCTCATATACCAAACCGAAACTGACCGAACGGAAGGCCTTGTACGGTAATATGTACCGACTGTGGTAAAAGCATAACGTTTAACCCCTGTACTTTATGGATAACAACTTCTTTATTATATTATGAAGTGATGTTTCTAGTATAGATTCTTATACTGTTGTCTTGACAATGGTTTAAGAATCTATACTGAAACGTCACTTCATAATATGCTACCCGTGAAGGTCCGTGTTAGAATTGATCTTCAGTAACCCATGCTTGTAGTAAGAGGCGACTAACGGGATTGGGTGGTCAGGCTCGCTGACTGGGTTGACACATGTCATCGGTCCAGTTGCTTTGATCAATGCTCATGCTGTTGATCACTGGATTGTCTGGTCCAGACTCTATTAGTTACAGACCGCCGCCATATAGCTGGAATATTGCTGAGTGCAGCGTAAAACTAAACTCACTCACACACTCATAATATGCTAAAGAAGTTGTTATCCATAAAGTATCATACTATTTCTTGTCAATCGGATGTTCCCCTAAGTGAGATCATGTGGTTTGTTAATCCTTAATCAGGGTAATTTCTCAAAGTAATTATTTTCTGTAATTAACAGATTTTCATAGTTTTGAAATCATGACAATTAATTTTTGGAACCCCAACTTATTTACACAGATTTAACTTTAATATATTAATACAGAAATTAGGTACCATGATCTCAATGGAAGTACTACTACCATGACTTACAGGGTGTTTGGGGATATTTTATGCTATATCATCCTGCGCCCATATCTTAACATATAGACTTATCTAACCAAAGCTCATAGGACCAAAAGAAATTTTTCACCACTTGGGTTTTACGCCTGTGGCAAAACCACTAAACCTATAATCATGCATGTCGTGAGTGGTAGAGTAAGTATGATTCATTGAGGATCATGTCACGCTAGTAATGTCAGTGCATCCTTCACCTACATATAGATCTATAGGCATACTGCCCTTACCGTAAGTAAGCCTCTTTAATGATTATTATTGAACTTACGCCTGCACTGTTACACTCTGAACTGCCAGACAACTCAGATACTGTTCTCAATATTCATGCTCGTATTATGCAAAATTACTCATCAAGGTATTCATCGTCGCTGCCTTGGTTTTAGCACAATATGGGCGGTCAGGTAGTCTCGTGGTTAAAGCGGTCATTCATCATGCCAAAGACCTGGGTTAGATTCCAACATGGGTACAATGTGTTAAGCCCATTTCAGGTGTCCCTTGCCGTGATATTGCTATAATACTGCTAAAAACTAAACTCGATCACTAATTTAGCACAATAACACAGGCATATATAGTGACAATATATTGCTTAAAGCTAGTGTTTTTCCATTTATCTTTACAAGACCCTTTGTACACGCCCACTAGCCCAAGACAACTAAATTGTGCTGATGACTAGTGAAATGATGGTAGACCTCATTCTGTGGTAGTTTTTTTAAAGGCTATAATTTTCAACAAGTTCTCTCTTACGGGATGGCGTGTTCAGGCTGAACTAGCTATCAGCTCTGAGTACTAGTGAAATGAGATTTTGTCTGCTTGTGGCAAATCGATCAGTGTTGACGTTACACTGATCTGTAGGCCCTAAAAAAAAATGTTGTGGTTCCGATTACCCGACCGACCCTTGGATTTTGGTGCCGACCCTAATTTTTTTAAGCGGTATGAATGAAATAAGCTTTTAGATACCATTGTTTTTCCCCGGCACCGACGGACATTGGTCATTCAGATATAAAAAGTTGACATGATGGCCGAAACCTTGATTGAATAACAATTATACATTGATAAATGTGTTATTAGTTTGTACTTTACTTCTAAAAAAAAATGCTGAAAAAAAAAATCCTACCTGCCTACCCTAAATTCTAAAGAGGTGTAATGGAACCACAACATTTTTTTATTTGGCCTAGGGGTGTTGAGATTCACTGATGTATTGTTAAAATTTAAGACTGACTTAAACTGAAGACAGGTGAAAAAATGCATCCACTTGTCCTCTGGACTGGTCTTGAAACACCAGACTTCCTATGACTGTAAGAGGGTTACAATTTAAGACTGACTTAAACTGAAGACTGTAAAATGCATGCACTTGTCCTCTGGACTGGTCTTGAAACACCAGACTTCCTATGACTGTAAGAGGGCACCTGTAACCCTGTAATGGGCACCTGTAAATGCTGTATTGAGTACCTGAGGTATGACACAAGCGACACAGGAGGCAGTGGAGGCTCAGAACAGCCTACTCTCAGGCATAAGTAGGTCTGGCAGTCAGTGTGCTGATTATAGAGAGATAACTTTGACATTTACATGTTAGAGGCTCCCTCCACTTATCTATGCAACACTAACCTGTCCCTCCCTTACCCCCCCAAAGGCCCCCATTGACCCTGGAGTCTGACCCCTGACCCCTGAATGTTGTGTCCTATATTGGCTCCTTGCTCTGGGGTTTAAACTGTGGCTAATTTCCTGGGTGTTTTCAAAGGGGTTTAATCGGATGGATTTGCGGTTTATCTTGGGGGTACAGCTCATGTGACCTGTGAAGCTGAAAATAGTCTGGAGATTTCTTAAGATGTTATCTGAATGTAGGAAGTGTTGAGATGTGAAGTGTTTCATCATGAAATACACATGATGGCTATCCAAATGATATTTTCATTTAAAAAGAACTTGTATGTAAACATCAAAGTTGTGCATGAATATACAATATTCAAATATACAAATATACAAATATCTGATTATATATTATTCTTGGAAGCATATTTGTTTGGATATTAAGGGTTTTTGATGCATGTTTCTCTTCATATCCACTAGTTTGACATAGAAAGTCCATAGATACGGACCGTAGTGACCTCTCTGATATCACCTGGATTGATCATCATGTTAGATTCAAGAATCATTATAACTGGTTAATGTCACATTACATACATTATCATCATCAGGGGTAGCCTAGTGGTTAAAGCGTTTGCTCGTCACGCCATAGACCCAGGTTCGATTCAGCACATGGGTACAATGTGTGAAGCCCATTTCTGGTGTCCCCCGCCATGATATTGCTGGAATATTGATAAAAATGGCATAAAACCATACTCACTCACTTACTATCATCGGTGTGTGTGCGTGTATGCGTGTGTGTCCACACTATCAGGGCCAGGATTAATCAGGATTCACTGTATATAAGATGTTACTTTTATATAATATGGAGGATTCAGACAGAACACAGAATTCCATAATGTACAAACACTGAATTCAATTTTTATGCAAAAAGCTTTTTGAATACTGCAAAGACTGCTTATATTGATGATACACAAAGAACTGTAGACAACAGTATGAGCCTATTGTTCAGTGCAGTAACGCAATAGAAGCCCTGCCCATTCTACCTTTAACTAATCATGAAACAGATGTTCAGTAGCAGAAGGAAATAAGCAGTTATACAACCTAGTAATAAGTCCACTAACACAGTTATAGTGTCCAGTGACAGTGGCCAGGAGGGTTATAACTCACCACATAATCCCAGCCAACAATATCTCATTTAATTACTTTTTCACACCTCACAACTCATAAAAATGTTTATGGTTATACTTCGCAATATGAGTCAAACAATATATTGCAGTTAACAATTCCGGAGCCTGCATAATCATGCTGTGAATATCCATGGCTGAAGGCCTCTACATACACTTAAATATGTAGGCCTATGGCATAGCTTATAATCAAGGTGTGGAAATACTGCATCAGATTTGCCCATCTTGGTTTATTAGACGTGACAAATAGAATATTACATTGGAGTTTCTCAAGGACACATAACATGTTCTTGGATACTAATGTTAGTTTCCAGACACCCTGGCAGAGTATAGAGTATTCCCTATTTCCATTGTTTATGTTGGCATGGATATGACACTGGTCCAGGTCCAAAATTCTGGGATATCACCAT